GTGCAATTTATAGGGGAGACTTTGTCAAAATTTTACTAGATATTTAGAAAAATTATTAATTAAATAAATATGTTTTGTCTCGAAAATTCAAAAACTATGCTAGATTTTTTTTTTACGAAAATAATTTATAATATATTTTTAATTGAATTGTTATTAATTGTTGTATTTTTTAAATTGTTTTATGTATTATTCTATAATTATGCCTCGTGAATCGAGCGGATCTCGCTAGTAGTGCCAACCGACGTAAATCCGATGGCGACAATGTCCATAGTTGTGGCACTAATACTAGTAGTGTTTGTGACCGTGCCATTGACAATAGCGTTGTATATGGACGTGTCATTGCTAATGTACTGGTTTAGAGTTATAGACTTGATAGTTGTGTCGGCACGTCGGTATTCCCGTTGGTAGTGCCCTCACTAGTGATGCTCCTGCTGGTAGTGCCTTCGACTGCGGATGTCCCCATGATGGTTTCTTTAGTTCAAGAAGCTTTATATTTTTGTATATTATATTGGAATCATTAATTCACTTATTTATTATTTATCTATTTTGTTCGAAAACTTGGTTCCATCAATTAAGTGTTTCAAGAAAATCATTGTAATTTTCGAGGAGCGAGTTGGACATCAATAGCTCCATATGGAAGTTTGTCTCCATAAAGACGAAAAACTTCTTATTTAATGAGTTTAAGGTAATATATTAATTATTTTCTTATATTTCATTTAAAATATTAATTTAACATGAAATGTATTAATATTTTTTCTCTACGGATGAAGTACTTTTCATGGGTGTAGCCATCAACACGTTGATTAAGGATGCGTGGAAAAGTTTGGCATGAATGAGGTACGGTGACATGCTGAACAAGTCGAAGAACGAAATGACGGACCTATAAATGTTAAACAACAAATGTGTGAAGCATGACACTAGAACCGGGTCACACCTAAGTTTTAAGCTCGCTCTCAACAAGCGTCTTGAAACCATATGTCGGAGACGAATGATGTCGGTGCTTGATCCATTTAGGCATACGAAAGGGAGGGTCCATCTCTTTGATTGAGCTTGCTAAATGTTTGATAAATATTATTATCCATTGTGTTATAAATTATTTTTTACATTTTTTACATCTTATATTATTTTATCTATTTTTTCAATATAATAAATTGGATTGTAACCCAATTCATTACAAGTTACTTGTGACAACTCACAAGCGAGAAAGATGGGTTATTCGTTGATAGACGGTCCCAAATAGTAATGATAAGTTTTTTATTTTTGTAAATATATATCTATCAATATAATCTAAATATATATATAATTTAATATTTTAATTATTTTAATGATGCAAAAGGGCGTGTAGTCGATGCAAAAAAACGGTAGAAGGTTGATTCATCATCTTTAAACATCGACATCTCTAAGATATATTTGGATGTTGTAGAAAGGGAGAAGAAGTAGAGAATGTACGGTCTTGAATCACAAACGTCTCGGTATTACTCCTTTTCTAGCACCAACTCATCCTCTACTACTTCGTGGTATCTTGGTGGTAATAACCAACAAGTTTCTACCTAGTACGAAGATAGGATCAAGGAGTTATAGATTGCCATCTAGGAACGAGCCGATTAATTTAGTAATTTACAGAGTCAAATATAGATATTGTTAGGGTTATTACGGGACTCGCACGGACTCGTATCCCTTCGCCGAACCCCTCTCAATTAGGAGTCGAGTTGTTCGTCTCAATACCTAGCTATTGGGAGATGATGCGGGAGATGATGAAAACTAGATGTCTTATTTTTCTTTTAAGGTTTTTAATGTTTTTGTATACCGATATGCTTTTACATATTTATTTGGTTTCAATTTATATTATTTTAATTTTATTAAATATTATATCGTGTTTAAATAAGGTGTTATTTTTAGTTGTTTGTTACTACCATTAACATGAAACAACTATTAATTTATATTAAAAAATTAAAATTTCTTTCATTTAATGACAGATTAGTGACCAAATTTGCAAAAAAAATTAAACCATTTTGTGATGGACACTTATACGGTCGCTAAATAGCAATGGATTTAGTGATGGATCCGCAACAAACTTTAACTAGAACAATTTAGCAATGGATTTAGTGATGGATCCGCAACAAACTTTAGCGATGTAAATAGTGAATTAGCGACGGTTTTGTGACAAATACGAGATCGAGGAGATGACTCGTTTACTATGCTTGAATGGCGAAAATTCTACACATTAGCGACGAATTAGTTGTCGTTAAGAAAATAGTGATAATGACTTTTGCAATAGAAAATCTATTGTTGCAAATTCGTTGCTAAGTTCAAATAGTGACAGATTTTTACTATATAGTGACGGAAAATTCCATCGCTATTTTTTTTTTTTATGAAGCATCTTAAAATAATAAGTACTTATCCCAAAACGGCAAGCAATGCTTTGGTTAAGGCGATGTTTTGTATTTGATTTGATTTTATTTTTTATGAATGAATGCAATGTTTTTTCATATGACAAATAATAATCATAAAATGGGTGGTGATCAACTAAAATAAAACATTAAAGAATTATTGTATTTATCTGGATATTATACTTTTTTTTCCCAACAAAGTAAAGTAAGATAAATAATTCTAGAATTTTTGAAAAAAGATCCACTACATTTACTTGTGTTTATTTATTTATTATTAAACTGCATAGATAAATTGATAATATATTATGTATAAAGAAACATTGTACTTTTTTACACTCCTACATATTTGGAAGGAATTCCGCAATATATATATATATATATATATATATATACAAGAAGATAGTGATGTAACTTCTGTTTATTTATTTAAATCAGTAAATTAACCGTGCCCTAATGCATAGCGCATGATAAGGAAAAAACATGAAAATGCAATGGAATATGGAATACTACGTAACTAAGGGAGCCCTTGCCCCCGTCTATTGGGTACTAAATGCCCCAAGTTATTATTATTTTTAGCATTATGTACTATTTTCCTTCGAAAATAAAACAACAACAACATCCATTTTATCTCGATATTATGATAAATTTGATAACTATCTACCAATTTCACAACAATTCTTTAAAGTTTTACAAGTACCTTTGGTTAATGCAATGTTTTTTATTTTTTATTTTTTTTGAATGAATGCGATGTTTTTCAATATGACAAATAATAATCATAAAATTGACGGCGATCAACTAGACTAAAACATTAAAGAACTATTGTATTTATCTTGATTGTTGATAGCCTCAATTATCTTAAGCTGGGCTAGCAAAGCATGCAACAATCGAGTAAGCTTTCCTTATTGGCAAGATATGGGCGTTTATAGAGAAATTTTAAAGTACTAAATGGTAAACTATCAATAATTATTTTATATAAGAAAAATAGATATAAGGAAAAGAAAAACATAGGAGAGCGAATTAGAAAAATAAAAAATACTTTTAACCATATTCTTATAATCTTGTTTTTGAGTTTGGATGTATTTTTTTTTCATTTTTGTATTTGTTTTCTACCCTTAAAGTGAATTTATGAAATAATTACTTGTATTTATTCTTTAAAAAAATTCTCATATAATTCATTTAAAGATAAATAGGTAAATTTTGACTTTGAAAACAAATTAATTCACTTGAAAAATAAGAAAAGGCAGTAATAATAATAATTAATATTAATTTTAATCAATCAAAAAGTCCAGAACAAAATTCATTAATTTTTTTTGAAAAGCTCGACCATTGAAAAAGTTAAATACATAGCCTATTCATTTAGTTTTAAGTGAATTTGGCTTTGTATTTTTTTTTTATGATTTTGTTGACTGAATATATTATGGATATATGTTTCTAGTGAATTTGGTTTAGTACTTTTTTAATTTAATTTTTCATTTATTATAATTTTTGCCTGTTTTATTTTCAAATAAATTTTCTTTTAATATATATATATATATATATCTATCGAATCACATGAATTATTATTTTTCGAGTTAAAGTTTACAAAATATAAAGATATTTTTCATTAGTTTTTCTAATGGAGGCAAATAGAAGGACCGTATTAATAAACGAGTGAAATATTATAGAGGTAATTGATATAAAAAAATATTTAATTTAATTTTTGACATATCCATATATTCCAAGGGATAAAATGAAATTAACCCTAGTTTTTATCATTCTTTTTACAACCAATACAATACCTAACATATTATGCGTATTAAATAGAAGCAAAATGCCATTTATGTTAAAAATGTTATCGTACGAGTTTGTGCGTCAATAAAAACTAATTTTTTTCCTAAAAGATTTTAAGACAATTAAAAATATTTAATAAATCCTGTTGAATGCTAATATTAAAGTTGAACTTAAAAATTCAAGGAAGAGAGTGTGCATTTTTAGCAACCAATTCAACCTCATCAAGTTGACCGATGTTTCATCGCTTGTCACCCTCTGGAGCAAGTAATAGGAAAAACCTCAATTTAATCTCTAGCTTATATACTCACTTTCAATTGCGTCTATAACTTATACATTTGATCAATTAGGTTTTAATTATTTTCTACAATGCTCAACTGTACCCTTTTGTTAATGTTTTTAATAATTTAAGTCATTTGTTCATATTTTATACACTAAAATATTGATTTGAAGAAAATTTAATAGAAAGTAAATGAATATTAACATTTTTTTTAATCTAATGTGCATATTAATGCTCTAAAAGGACATTAATTTGAATAATTTTTGACAACAACATGGATGAGCATTAACAAAGGATTTGATTGAGAATTTTTAAAAAACATTAGGATTTAATTGATGAAATTATAGATTTTAACTTAATTAAGAATGAGTATATAGATTTGGGACCAAATTAAGGTTTCACTTTATATATATATATATATATATATATATAGTATTTGACTCCTCCGACAAGTTACAGTCATCACTCATCACTGGTAAATCCCCTTAACCGTTGACCCTCCTTAATTCCATTTGAATAAACTACAAGTGCCGGAGAAGAGTGAAATTGTTATCCAACCAAATATGTCAATGTGCTCTTCTTCTTCTGGGTCTTCATCAACCAAATCATGGATCGTGCACGGCATTGTAGCCGGAGCTGCAATTGCTGTGGCATTTGGCGCTGGTGCTTATCTCGGTCGATACAGAAAGTTTAGGAGCCGGGTTGTAGGTATCATACCCGCTCGTTATGCTTCTTCTCGGTTTGAAGGCAAGCCACTTGTTAACATCCTTGGCAAACCCATGATCCAGGTATCCTTTTGCCTCCTTTTCTTTTCTTTTCTTCTTTTAAAGTTTTTGCATTTCTTAATTTTTAGTTTTGTGTATGATTTTTTTATTTTTATTTGACGTGTTATTCAGTAGATCTGATATGGGTTTTTGTATATTTGGATTCATTAAGTGATTAGTAATTTGTTTTGAAGCAAAAGCTCACTAAAGTGCTCATCTAACCTCTGTTTTTTCAATCTTATGTAATTTTTCTTAAGATGCTCTTTAACTGTATAACTCATCTGAAATCATGCAACTTTCTTACAAATAAAAACCTTTTCAAGTTCTGTTTCTGGCCGAATCAAGCTTCTGTGAAATTATCTTGAATTTTGATTTGAATGAATGTCCTCTCTCGGATGGATCAATGTGTGATATGGTTAAATACAACAGCATAGTTGTTGGGGCATTATATGTTAAGTTGATCTAGTACTCAAACAAGGAGTAAATTTTAGCAAAGAAAGGTGCTTTTGTTGATTGATCTTTCATACTCAAATTTTCATCTTTAGAAACAAAAAGAAGTGAGATTATGTACTTGGGTGGCATGTGTATCTTGTACTAAATCTTTTGAATTATAGTGTATTATTTGATATGGGGAAAGAAATGTTCTTTTAATTGATAAGTAATTACCTCGAAAGAAAGTTGCTTTATCTCACACTTTTAGTTCATCATCTACAGAGAACTTGGGAAAGGACCAAACTGGCAACAACACTGGATCATATAGGTAAGTAACTAGCCTGAGCTTTACCTAGTTTTGATGGGAAGCCTTTCTGCTTCATGTAAGATTGTCATTGAGGAAATCTCTATAGAGGTGGTCCTGTATTAACTTATGGATCAAAACTAAAATGCCTCTTAATTTTCACTGGCTTTGGCTTTACTTTAACTCAGTTAGATGCCTAAAGTTTGGCTTTGATATTGTAGTAGCCATCAAAAGTTATCTGTTTTGTGTTGGACTTGTTCGATATTGCTTGATGTTAGCAGTCTTTCATTCATTTCTGACCCATAGAAGGGAAAAACAATCTGCAGATGACATTGAAACTGCTTGCTACAATAATTGTATTGGTGATGTGAACAGGATCAACAATAGATTCTTTTCTGAGAGCTGAGTGGTCTAGTGTGTTTTGTTGATATTTTTACAATCTCTGTCATATTTGCCAATGCAGTTGTGGCTACGGATGATGAAAAAATCGCAGAATGTTGTCGAGGATTTGGTGCTGATGTGGTAATGACTTCAGAATCTTGTCGAAATGGTAGGTATCTTGGTTGTTCATTGTCAATCTTAACTTTATTGGATTTGCTAAAGGTTCACAATCTTTTGTTATTGTTCAGGTACGGAACGATGCAATGAAGCACTTCAAAAGCTAGATAAGAAATATGATGTTGTTGTCAATATTCAGGGCGACGAGCCTCTCATTGAACCTGAGATAATAGATGGAATTGTTAAAGCACTGCAGGTGAATTTTTTATCTTCATAGTATACATCTTCTGAAACATGACTATTACATCTAATGAACAAAAGGTTCATGTTTATCTTAATAAATTTTAATATTTTCACAAGGTTTGTTTTATGCAACATGAAATATCCTGTAAGCTTTAAAATCATGCCAAAGTTATACTGCATTGGTTTGATTGTATTGCCGTACTTTTATTATATAATACTTTGGACTTCGTTGAAACTTATCATTATTCGTGTGGATGCAGGCAGCCCCAGATGCGGTGTTTAGCACCGCTGTAACCTCTTTGAAGCCTGAAGATGCATTTGATCCCAATCGAGTGAAATGTGTGGTGGATAATCGAGGTTATGCTATCTATTTTTCGAGGGGATTAATTCCTTACAACAAGTGAGTTTATCAAGTATAAGTTGGCTGTCCTCATTTTTGGTGTAACTATTTTAGTCAGACTGTTAACAAATATATTCACCCACTTGATACAGGACGGGAAAGGTCAACCCACAATTTCCGTATTTGCTTCATCTAGGAATTCAGGTATGAAGATGGCATCATTTTTGAAAGTTCTCTCTCCATGTCTGAGTGGTTGCTGGGTTGTCTGTCTGCCTTCTGTTTCTCAGCCACATTATTTACCATCCTGCACCTTAATAAAATTGTATATTGTTTGATGTCTGATCAGAGTTATGATACAAAGTTTCTGAAGATATATCCTGAGCTTCAACCCACTCCACTGCAACTAGAAGAGGATCTGGAACAGCTTAAGGTCCTTGAAAATGGTTATAAAATGAAGGTATTATAATAAACTTCTATTCCCGCTCTGGCCCTTTGACTGGCCTGCCCTATTCTAAACTTCTTGCATGATAGTTTTGACATAGCTAGGCATTCTCAAAGCTGTTATGTGGACATTGCTAGGCTTTCTCAAAGCTGTCGTGTGTTTCTTCTACAACATGGTCTAGGCTCTAGACTAGGTTGTTTTGGTAATGAAAGCAAATTATTTCTTTTTGGTGTTTCTGGATGACCCAATGAAATGGGAGAATCTTTCCCCTTTTTGCATTCGTCTCCCATAAATATTTTGTTTGGATAAAAAATTGACCTATTTTTTTTCAAATCATCCCATTGAGCATTATGTTCAAAGGAAAATAGGCCAATGTGAAGAGAAATTTGAAATAAAACAGAGTTGATTAATTTTCTCTAATCTTTGTGCTAGTCTACTTTACCATTATCTCATGTTAGATACCTTTTTTGGCATTTTTCTTTTTTTCTTTTTTGCTGTACCATAATAGTTTTTACTTCCTAAGAATTCTGCTTGTATTTCCAAATGTTATTAACTAAGAATTAAGTTATTGTTTTCCTTTTCAATAAGAATGAAGTAGATTGTGCTTGCTGAAATCTCGAAATTTAGAAATGTACAAAAATTTTGCAGGTGATAAAAGTTGACCATGAGGCACATGGTGTCGACATTCCAGAAGATGTTGAAAAGATAGAAACTTTGATGCGTGATAAAAACTTGTCTTAGTTCAATCCTAACTATGTCAGAGGTTAGATTTTAATGTAGATTGGGTGGTATGCATGTGTAATAAACAGTTCCAAGGGAAAGGGAAGTCAAGTAAGATGATGGTTATTGGTTTCACTAGCCAATTGTCTACTGTTCCATTTTTATCCAAAAAACGAAGAAAAATTTAGTTCCATCTAAACCATACTTGCTCGTTCTTTTTATTTTTTGTTTGTCACAAGAGTGATGCAATTGCTAGCAAGTTAGCATGCTTTAACACTTCGGTTATTGGTGGAGATTTAAACCTGTTACTGCTTGGACTCCGTTGTCATCTCAGTGGTTTCCAATTGGAAAGTTTGACTAGGTATAAACTTTCATCAACAAAATGTTTGAGATAAATTTCGTACATTGTTTGCCTTTTCTCAACTTTTACATGGGTAATCGAAGAAATCTCTGAAGATCAACTTACTCAAAAGGAAAACGAATATGGAAAAGTGCTGAGGAATAAAATAGGTTCCAAAAAACAATAGAAAAGAATAAAAAAAAATCATCAGTGCAGTTTCTGGTCTGACTTTACTGAGAAGTAGCTTTAAAGTCAGCACTTAGGAAGATCAGCTGGTGGAGGAAGCAGCTTCTGATTGGGTAGTTTCCCATCCAAGACAACCCAAGCCATCTTCAGGCCCCAGCTTGTGTGCGCTTCTACATGGCAATGCATGAACCATACACCTGATGATAGCCATCGTCCACAAATGAAACAAGTAAGCAACTAATCATTATCATTCACGTTATATACTGATAATTTATAATTAATTACCAACCTGGATTGTCTGCTAGAAACCGTATGGCAACCCAGCCTCCGGAGGGCACTCCCACGGTATTCCTTTCAACTGGGTCAACAAGATTGAAATTTTTAGAATCCTTCCTTGGATCAAAGTTTCCAAAACCTTGACCAACAACAAAGAAATTGAAACCATGCAAATGAAGAGGGTGACTCTCAGCACCAAGTATGCTAGTGCCCTGCAAAATGAGCTCCACGCTGGTGTTAAAAGGAAGCACAACTAGCTTGGTTCCATGGCTCACCATAGTATTGTTTGGTGGTGTGCCAGTATAATTAAAAGGGATTAGTGGACTTATTGGAAAATTTGAACTGTAAAAACCCTTAGAGTGACCAAAATAGTGGGCTTGGAGTAGAGCTGTGGTTGGCATTACAAATGATACGTTATTAACTGAAGCTGCAAACCTTGTTCCATTTGGTCCCTGACAGGTTGTTCTTAGAGCACGGGTTTGTTCCAAGACCTACAGTGAAGAAAAATTGCCTGTCAACCTCTTGAGGCAAGTTGGCAGGGAATTCTGCACTGGCTAAGCTGCGGAGTTTGCTAGTAAAGTTTGTAGCAAATGAAGTGTCATTTAGAGGTGGTAGATTTGGTTTATAGAGCGGGAGTTTCTTAGTGGAGTGGCTTGATTGAATGATTTTGTGACTCTTCATATTCTAAAATGCCAGCAACAGTTGAATTGTCAAAAGGTCCTTGACCAGTCACGTAAGGTCTAGCAGACATGAAAAAATTGGCATTTGGGTGGTGAGGCTTGGTCTTTAGAAGAACATTTGTGGTTTGTCCAGGGGTAATGAGAAGTGTGTCGGTATCAAATGGTTTCACATAAATTGCATCAACTTCCACAACTGTGAGAGTATGGTTTGCTATGCTGAAGAAAAGCTCGTCATTGAGTGCGGCATTGATCATGCGAAGAAGGTAAGCCTTTCCTGGCTTTACCTTCAACTTGAAAGTATCTGCCAAGTGCCACCATGCACACAAGGTAATAAGAGACAAAAAAGGAAAGAAATGCTATGCATTGTTGTAGAAGGCCTACTCTGCTAACATATTAGACCTTTGGCAGAACAGTTATATAATGGCCCTGGAAGTCCATTGATAGTGTAGGCATCAGAGACATTTGGGCCTGCACCTGTTTGCATTGCCTGATTAATGATTGCCTCTGGATCTGAGTTGAACCACTCTCCTGCAATTTACTTTGCATTACTGTTTCTGTTAGCAGGCATAGGACTAGCTCAGCAGGAAAATAAAAATTTCAATTTCAATTAGCTGTTCGAAGTAGCTTTTTCATTGTTGATTACCAAAGATGATTGGAACTTCCTTGTAAGGTTTAGCAAATGGATAAGGAGTGCCGAGTTTGGGAAGAATGAGTATTGGACCATAGAGAGATGATCTTAACCATGATATATGGGCATGCCAGAAAAGAGTGCCTCTTTGTCCTACAGTAGTGTAGCTGTACACGTAGCTTTGTCCAGTTTGTATAGGGCACTGAGTTATGTATGCTGGTCCATCAGCCCACCCGCTGCGAAGCTGTCGAATTCCATGCCTGTATCAACGAATATTAACATTCAGAATCAGCCTTTTCAATATAGAGCGCACTATATTTGGTATATAACTTTAATAAGAAGACGATCACCCTCCCTAGCTCCAATGCGAGGCCCCGGAAACTTCCCAAAAAAAAGAGACTGCAAAATTGAAAATAGAGGGACCAAAGCAGCCGGGTTAGCTAAAAAAACATAATGCAAAATTGAGTAATATAATATTGATCATTAGATGCTATATGATACAAATATGCATATAATAACTAGTAACTAAAATAGTGATGTAATAGTTTTTTAAATTTTGAATGATTAATTTTTACAACATGTTTTTCATTTTTAATTTATCAATGAGATAGAAAGAGACTGCCCAAAATAAAAAGACCACAAATTATCAAATCATAATGAAATAAATATTTCAAAATCTATTTGGCAAAAGTTATGAACAAAAATTACATACGATAAAACTTAAATGATCAAAATAAAATAAAAATCACAAAATAAGGATAAAAGATTTTTTACTAAAAACCAAAAAGGTCTATGAACAATAAGATGAAAAAAATCCATTATGCATAAGATGGGAACAAAAAATTAAACATGATAAAAACTTTAATGAAAAAAAAAAAAAAGAAGAAACAAAACAGAAAGAATTCTTTTACTAAAAAAAAAAAAGTCATTGGATGATGAAACTATATTTTGTTTCAAGTATAGTAAGAATAAAAGCCAAACAAAATAAAACTTCAATGACCAAAATAAAGAAAAGTTCAAAAAATAGGTACAAAAGTAGAACAAAAAGTTTTGCTAAAAATGAAAAAAATGTTCCTTGTAGGGATAAAAACCAATTATGATAAAAATTGAGTAACCATAAAATAAAGATTACGAAACAGGGACCAAAAAAAAAAATCACTAAAAGCTAAAAAACAAAAGAAGCTTATCTAGAGTGAAAGTATATATATATATATATATATATATATATATATTAGTGTGCAATTAGTTGGATACTTGCACTATACTATCGTCGTACAACCGTTATATACATAAGGTTAACAATTCGTATAGTCTAGTGTAGGTAAAAATCTTATTTCTCATAATTAATGTAAATTAAATTTATTTGTTGAGTAAAATTGTTTGATATATATATATATATATATATATATATATATATATATATATATATATATAGTGTGAGTAAAAATCTTATTTCTCATAATTAATGTGAATTAGATTTATTTGTTGAGTAAAATTGTTTGATATATATATATATATATAACAAATAATCAATAATATTAGTGCAAAAAGTTATATTTGAATAATTGAAAGGTTCTTTCAAAATATTATTCTAATTATTTTATTTAAAAAATATTGATTTTAGAAAAAGAATAAATAACAAATAATTGGCGTTATGTGTGCGGATAAACAATTAATTTCTAACAAAACCAATGATATATATATATATTTCAATTATTTTATTTAAAAAACATTGATTTTAGAACATAAAAAAGAATAAATAATAAATAATTAGTGTTATGTATGTAGATACATAATTAATTTCCTAATGATATATATATGATCATACTTAGTAAATTCAAATTATATATTACAAATATTTTTTTTAAAAAAACATCTAAGTTGTATGAAATTTATTAAAGTCAATAAATTGATATAAAAACTACTACAAAATTGGTTTTCATAAATTTTACTTCTTAATTTATGATGAAAGAGATTCTTGAATTGCAAATTAAATTAATTATTAGTTCATGTTATTTTGAAAAATGAATTAACTAATTCTTTTGGTTTCAAAAATAATATAATAATATATTTTAATCAACGTTGAGCATGAATAATTTATTTTTTATTTTAAAAATTATCTTTTTTCATCTTTTTACTTCTTAATTTGTGATGAAAGGGATCCTTAAAATGAAAATTAAATTATAAATCTCATATTTTAAAAAATGTTTGTTGTTAACAAAATAGGATTCATTTTTTTTATTCATTCGTTCTTAAATAAAAACCTACAATAATATAAATATAAAATTTAATATAAATTTTTTAAAAATATCTTAATATGTTTTTTATAAGACTACATTAGAGAAATATATAAGCAATCAATATAAAAATTTGTATAAAAATTAACTAATGAATCTTTTTAATTTTTTTTAAAATATGTACATTTGTATATAGACACACACACACACACACACATACAAAACAATCAATAATATTTGGTATAAAAACATGTATTTGAATTATTAAGTGGTTATTTTAAAATCTTATTTTATTTAAAATAAAATAAATTTAAAATATTAAAAATAATTAATAGGAAATAGTTGGCGTTATATGTGTAGGTGCATAATTAATTTTTTAATAAAATCAATGATCTCAATACTTTTTTTATACGACATTACCCTACTTTGTACAAATTAAAAAAATCTTTAAGAAAACTTAAGATGTAAAAAATATATTAAAGTTAATAGTGTGTAGTAAAAATAATTTAAAATTTTATTCCAAAATAAATTGATTATATCAAGAATAAAGTAAAGAAACACGTGAATTCTATTATTTATTAAAAGATATATAATAAAAATTTATACATGGAGAAAGATAAATCATATTTATTATCAAATCAAATTTCATAAAAAAATAAAAAATTTAATTTGATGAGAATTTTTATAATAAATGAAAAATTTAAGAGATTAATTTTAATCAATAAAAAAAAATCCAATATATGTGTTTGTTCAAAAATATAAAAACAGAAGAGGCTAAAAATAGTTTTTAAAAATATGAGGAACAAAAAATATATTTTAAAAAAAATGAGACAAAAATGGACTAACTTAAAAACATGAGATGTCAAAATATTTTTAATTAAAAATACATTTTGAAAACATAAAAGACCAATAAAGAATGAAGCGTAAAATTTGAAAATGAATGCCCAATAAACTTTAAGAAAATTAAAAAAATACCATTGTATAAAATAATAAAATTGCCACTCTAATGAATAGTGAATCGAGGCAAATGAACAGTCTAATAAACAGATATTTTACTATTTATTTGCCTTAGTTCTTTCAGTTTATATATATATATATATATATATATATATATATATATATATATATATATCCTTATGCTTGTGTATGATTCATGTTTTAGTTTTATTTTGATTGAAGTTTTTTTTTTTAATTATTTCATTAATACTTTTATTTGAAAAATTCATTAAAAATTTTGCCCCTATATTGAATTTCTTGCTTTGTCAATCAATATGGTTAAATATGTATATCTGATTGATTTGTTAATAAACTTTATTTAGATAATTTAATTAATTATGAACTAATTTATTTTATTCTTTTTTTTTATTATTTATCTTGCATAGATTCAAGCTATAAATGAAGTAGATTGAATTGATGATGGACTTTGTTAGTACAAGACTTTGGATCGTATAAAGATAGATACATGTATTCTAGCATAATGTCCATACTTATCTTTGGAATGTATGATGGAAATTGACTTAATAAGCTCATAGTAGAATCTACTAAAAAAAATTTAATTGTTATTTAATTTATACTTTACTTATATGTTAAAATAGTTTAAATCTACCTCATTTTCCTTTGTCCTTTTATTTTTATTTTTTGTTTTTTTGGCTCAAATACTATGGTCCAAATCTGAATCATATGGCACAATTATTGCAATCAAGAACATCTTATTTTCACTATAAATGCTAGTCTCTCATCAATTGTGAATGAATTTTAATTTTTGACTTGTAAAAAGAATCCTCTCTCTTAAATCTCTTCCACTTTCACAACACACAAATTCTAAAGTTCTATTCTTTTGGATTTTGACCACTTAGCCACTTTGCCATTTGATGAGTAAATTATAAATTAGTCCCTTTTGTTGCAAGAAAGAATTAATCAGTCTCTCTCATTTTAAAAACTAAATATTTGGTTCCTATATCTTGAAATGTACTTGTAATCTAGCCCTTTTTGCTTTTTTAAATTTCTTTTGATTTTTTATTTTAAGAAATAAAAAAGAAAAAAATATACATAAAGATTGATGAGAAAATAAGAGATTTTTTGGAATAAAAAATAATATTAAATTAAGCATGATCAACAGTAATTAAAGGACTAAATAATAGTTTTTGAAACGAGGGAGACTATTTAATTAATTTCTTGAAACTAGAGAGACTAATTTATAATTTAGTTGTCATTTGACTTGAGCTCTCTATGTCACTACTTGGTTAACATACTATTATTTTTATAAATTACAATACTAATTCTTGATATTTCAACCAACTCGGTACCTCCTCTTTCTACATTCCTAGGCTAGTTGTTTAAGTATCTTATGATTATCGATCGATTGTCCCTATTCTCACGGATCTAGTTTAGCCACTATTTATGTCTTGGTATAGGCTTGATGAAAAATATAATTGCCATACTAGTGCATTGAGGCATAATATTGAGAATTGTATTGCTTTAAGAAGAAAGTCAAGGCTCTAATCAAACATAGTTGACTCTTTTTTTTAAGGCACTCCATGTACACCAAATGCCAATACCAATCTGCTATCAAACCATTCAATTGCTAACACATAGGATGGAAATACTGAATGCACATAAAGAAAATCACATGAAGGATGATGTAGACTCATACTTTGAAAATTGAGTTTTTGAATTCTTGAACATTTTTTGTTAAAATATTTTATTTAGCTTTACATAAACTAGGTTGTATATTTTAATGGTATCAATATTTTTGTACATGACTTTATTATTGACTTGAAATCAAGAAATATCACTTGAAAAGCATCATTTAGCATTGTATTTCATCATTAAAGTATATATATATGAAAAATGTATTCACAAATTTTCAAAAATTAGTCATATGCTAAAACATTTCATACAATCATTAAGTAATAATCAATATTCTTTTAAAAACTCAAAACATAGCCTCTTCACTCCAAACAATATCATTATAAAGAGATTCTTTTGATGAAAGATTTGATGCTCTAAAAGATGATAAAA